CTAGGAGGTCTATGCTCGCTCCCATGAAAGTTTACCAGAATAGTATCAAACATTGAGCTCTATTTTGGAATTTATGGAAATCACCACCAAAAACTTCAAACTAAGCGGAAATCGCTGATATGCATGCAGACTCTTTGAAACTTGTAGAATAGACTATCGGCATGATACCCTAGCCACACACGAAACCACTTTTGTTTATCTCTCTATTCGCGAAATCCCCGTGAGTTGGAAGTCGAAGGCGCAAGCCCCTGAACGCACGTGACTCCACCTTCAACACTGTCGGTCTCCTTCATCTTTTATCTGCAGAGTCTCGTATTGTAGTATGAAGTACTTACAGCTCATATATACTCTTTTAGGACAACAGGTTACAGTTATCCCGTAAGAATCATCGATATGGTTCAACACGTGATGATAAATCTGTAAGACGTCCGACCCCTCGGGGATCCTCCGCCGTTGCAAGCGATGGGACCAGAAACCTTCATGGGATACTTGGAGCTGCTATGAAGTATTTCAGATAGTCTAGACTGCAGTAATCACCACAATATAATGTTTTCCTTCGAGTATCATGGATGTCGAGTAGTCACTTGAGCGCTGTTTGACCAATTGACATTTTCTGGTTCATTCAAAGCTATAGAAAGTCCCTTATATACTTCAAATTAACGTCCAGGGTGAATAAACTATGCTGGTAGTCCCACCGTGCGTATACGGGCGAATTCCCACCCCTCATACAACATCCCCATTGATCGCTATGCGCCAATTCTCTCCCACCCATTGCTCCGTCAGTCTTGGAGTTGGTTTTTGGTCTATATCTATCCTTTGATACCGCTGCTGGTGGGAATTGAGCACAGTTCAATACCGACTCCTAACTAAAACGTGCACTTTTCGATGACGCTGTCGGTATTTCTCAAACTTCAATAGATTCTGCTTCGGGCGCCCTCAAACTTAAAGGTTCTTTACTCACTACCTTCCAGCCTAAAAGGAAGGTGAAATCTCCAAGTTTCAGAATATTCTTGCTTAACAAATTCTTGGTGTGTATATCTCCAGGCTTGAATGTAGTCGAATCCTTGACTAACCAGTGTTCCGACATGTTCAGAATTAGTTTTTGGACTGAAAGCATGTTTTTAGTATGCCGGAGCCAGAAGCCAACAAATTTTAAATTCTGACTTCCGCAAAAAGTGGCCGAATATCCCGATTGATGGCCAGAGCGTGTTTGGAAACTCATTATTCTAGCGCTCCGACATACCTAAAACTAGTTTTGATATAAAAATAAAGTTTTAAAGTTGCCGGAGCCATAATCAGATCAAGTTCAAACGCCGACTACTGCAAAAATTACGAGTAAATCCCTGTTGATGGCTCTGGCGTGTTTGAAAACTTGTTCTTCCAATGCTCCGGCATACCCAAAAGTAATTTTTAGTTAAGCGAGACCAAAAATCATAGCGAGAGGTTTTGATTTTCTGTCGGCCTCCACCATCTCACCTACGACTTACTTTAAAATAGGTCTCATCGCTAAAGAATGCAAGAATCTATGATCGCGAAAGTTCTGGGACACCTTCTCAAACATTTGGTGATTTCCGGTTAGATTATGTGTTGGTGAGAGTTGATATTATTATAACACAAAGAGAATAACTTCTTTTCAGCACTTTCAGCACTTTCTCAAGTAAAATATACTACGTTAAATGAGTTTTGATTAGATATTTCTTGAATAAAAGCAAACGGGGCCCTCCTTCAGCACTTTGCGCAAAATAGCTTCATTTTTTCCCCGGTCAGCATAGTCGCGTTATTAGGATTATCAAGGTTCTGTCTAATAATTCCGAGTTATTAATACATATAAATCTTCAGAAGCCATGAAGACAGATACTATAAGTGCAGGTAAAGGATTCCCTATAAACTACAGTATTTTAGTGAGATATATTATTGGCAAGATTTTATAACTTGATTCTCCACGTCTGTTCAAGTAGATAAAATGATCAAAGTACTGTTAATACAACTTTTTCATAAGATGGAAAACAATAATAGCTCTATTTGAAAGTTTCCCGTGTGTCTAAAGTTGCGCCCAAACCCTTCTTTTTATGATACTACATAAATACTAATATTACCATCAAAAGTCTATATCAAACTAAGTATTAGATATATACCACCATTCTCACTTAGTAGTATGACTTTGTGCTTTAAATTACAAATTCCCGATAATTGTGAAGTCATGGTTTAGCACGTGATAAAGAAGCATAGCGAGGACACCTCTTGGCTCTACAATACTGGTCCGGGAGGATGATATTGTAATAATAAGACTATTTGAGCAGTTTGGATACAAGCGGGGGAGTGTTCGTTGAGCCATGATCAAGTAGAGGTTGGCGCAAAAAGCTACGAGGGACGTAATACTCGTAATCCGCAACCGATAGACTTTACGCTCAACCAGACCTCTATTACATCCATAAAGTCGATTCTCTGAGGTATAGGATGTGTATGCGTTGATGCAAAATATCAATACAATGCGTTGTGAGAACGCCATGATAGAAGCGGTCGGGGTTTTGCGATTTCGAAGCATGCGAGAGCCGGACGGCTGGAAACGAACATATTAGGTTAATTTAAAGCTTAGAACATATAGGATTGGTAATACCAATGCTTTTGCTAAATTTCAAAATTCCACTAATCGATGCTACGAGAATCACAAACCTCTTTACAACTTACTTAATGATGCGTTCTCTTAGCATGAATCGATCATTATGATAGCAATAGTGAGTCGGAGACACGAGTAGTAGTCGCAGCAGCTCATTCTATGAAATGCAGATTTGTCGCCATCCGGCTCAAGCGAAATATGGAATTCTCAGCAGGGCCGATATATCCAAGTTCCTCTCTTCTCTAAGCATCATGTACCTTATTATGATCGATTACTCAATGTCTGATAGTGGTAGGAGTCTGCAGCATAGAATGGCGAGTGTCGTCCTTCCCAGGAGAAATTTCCGAACTTCTGTCTTTTAGCAGAATCAAGCCCTAGCCACTCCTACCGCTCAAGATGTAACGACGATAATCATTTTAAACTGAACAGAAGCCCTCTTGAGCGTAACAGCAAATTTGAAATATTTCCAAAAATGGTGGGCGCATGCGTTTGGGGGGAGATTTCGAGACGAGAACAAAATTCTTCGGGGCAAAGAAAGGAGAGTTGGAAATCAACATGCCATCAGTAAAGAGTGATTTTGAGCAGTTATGGGGCTTCGAATCGCTTATTCAAAGTTTTGAACTTTTGGCATAACTCCATACTATGATCCACCACTTCTCCATTTCTCCATTTCTCAACAATCTTTATCACAGATGAGCTCATACTCCACAATCAGTCCATCACAACTATCAAGAGCCTCCCCATATAGTGGCGGAAAGCATGCATCATTTTCAAGAAGTCGCATTTTGGTAGTTAAGCTGCCTTTAGCAAATCAACATTTCGCTGACGCTCAACACCCCTGCTACGTATCAAGCTTGTGACTCTTGCAAAACAGCGGTTTGAGCTCAAATAACCTTTACAAGTCATCTGAAGCTGTGCGGAATAGATTTGAAAGATCCCGTTTTCATGAAAAGTCTCCCCTCAATAAACGAGGCCTTATTTGAAATACATCAAACACACCCATAGCCAACTAATGCACATATAATTGGGTCCATATGAGTTATTCAAGTAGATTATAAGTATTAAAGTGCTCTAGCTAGCAATTTATAATATTCTTTTGGCTAGCCCCTCGGGGTAACTCGAATAGACACTTGACAATATCCCAGAGATCAAGTGAGTCCCCGCTTAATCCGTACAAACAGAGAGTAGAAATGTACAGTAGAATGTCCTCGTAATATATGAAGTTTCTTAGATCTGTTTTGAAAACATGATCTTCAGCTTCTCTAATTTTTGGCACTCATCCCCGAATATACCCAGTCCATTTGCGCCCACAGACTCGCGATAGGAGGTGGAACATGCACTCCAGGGCATAACAGACACGTCTACCAGTCTTTATCGTACTGAAGAAAGGGAGATGTAAGATGGCGTTGAACGATGCGGTGTTGGCCAAGTGGAAAATGAACAGCAGTTTTTGACCTCTAATAATGCAAGGAAATTAGCACGAGAAAAGAAGTTGAGAATCGAACTCGTTTAGGCTTGCCCGGAATAAGACAGAGTGAAGGCAATGAAGTACAAGTTCGATTTTTTGTTGATGCAAAGACAAGAGAGAAACAGAAGGGGACCAATGTTGATCTTAAAGCTAGAGGCGATGAGAAGAAGCATCAAAGAGCATTATCGCTTATGCTTAATCAATCCATAAGTTAACATTGAAGCCATTGAATGCTGGGGTCCAATGCTCTGTAATAACTATCTCAAATGTTATATCAGGATGCCATCAATTCGAATCACTTTTCACAAGCCTCCCCTTGTTTCAGTGCAACATGAACTTGAGGATCCCCATTGCAACAGGTTTTTCTTGGACATGGTCTTTGTGATATCTCCGGTTTCTCACTTCTGCAGCCTTCCCTACCAGCCTCTCGGTTTACGAGAAAAACGGAAATATTAATGTAATTGATGTTAGTGATAGACCCGAGACCTACGGAGGGGACTGAGGGCATCAAGTATGAGCCATTGGATCTGGTAAGCATTAACTTTCTAGTAGAAAGTTATTTCTTCAAAATCTATGTACATTCCTACCGTACTGTCACTTGATTAGCTCTCAACACCGCTCTCAGAGCTCACTTGCTTCTTGCTTTGAGACTAGAATTTACACTTCTTCACTGGATACACTGCTGTACCGGTGGATTGCAGTATCGCTGCACCGCTGCACCGCTCACAGCACTCGGTAATTGGTGAGGAGAAGGAGTGAGAAGGAGGACAGGAGCAGCAGGTGGACAGCACAGAGGTTTTGAATCCAGGTGGGTCACACGGAATGTGGAGCTACTTAAGCTTACTTGAGCTGGAAAGGGGGGCCGCCGGGGATTCGTCAGGGGAGCATACCAAGACTGAGGATGTACTCATTTTCTCAGATACGAGACTCGAGCCGACAGTCGCGGTAAGGATTGACGTAGAATGGGCCGGCCATCGACTCCACAATGTGATATTGGCTCAAGGTATGCTTTCGAGATTCGTGACAGACTTGAAGGGCCACAGGAGGAGGACACTCCTCAGAACGCTCTCCTTCCAAAATTCTCGTACCGAAATCCTGTTCCAGCAAAGTAGATAAAGAACCTGCAATGTGGAAATTCGTGGCCTCTGTATATTCTTCGGCCTCCTCATCCTCACAAGTCACGCCTTCAATCATCCGAGGTCCTGGCCATGCGCATTCCCATATCATAAGGCGTAACTCGTTTGGTAGCTTCGGAAATAGGTGGAAGGTGTCGGCAGGTTGGTGATCTCCACCTCCATGACTGTCCATCGTACGCACTGTGGTCCAGTTGTTAGCAGAAGTAGATGAAAGGGTGGGTGATCTTACACGGTTGTCCCATCTCTTGTGAATAAAGGTACGGACATTCGATAATTTGTATCGTGCGACGGAAGTTCTGGGCGGTATCAATTCTTCTCGGTCGCCTTCCAGGTAGTGGTGGACACTCAGGTTGACTTAGTTGGTGAATGGAATCTACGCGGAGCATCCTCTGTTCCAGGCCTCGTGTGGCCCTTTGCACATAGCGCACTTCCTCGTCGCCTCTTTGTTGGTTTTAGTGGGGCAATCTCTAGAGCTGTGTTCCTCTGCACAGTAGCCACATGCAGCAAGTGCTCTGCATTGGGTTCCTATGTGGCCGTATCTCTGGCACTTATAGCATTGCTTCAAGCGACACTTCCTGTCATATCTCTCGCACTGGAACGCTTCTCTTGCCAGATCAGGCCTTCATCGATTATTTTGTTCGCATCTGCAGCTGGTCTTGTAAATTCAACGGTGATGGAAGAAGCTGATTTGGTGGAGGCCGATCTCGATAGCCATCCTATATACTTGATGTCTGCACTCGGGATGAATGGTTTGTTGTCCTGTAATACTTTAGCTCTAATTTGATTGAACTTCTCTATGTCCATTGAACTTGTACGTATCCCGTGTACAACAATGCCGTACGTTGGGGTTTGTATCGAGGCACCGTTTCCTATTCTGCTTGTCTACTCGTTAGCAAACTGTCTGAGTATTTCGGCATCTTTAGTATTAATAGTCTTAATGCTTAGATCTCCGCTTTTCAATTAGTTTGCCGATACGATGTAGATGTTCTCAATGTGTTTGTTCTTGCTCTGTTCAATCGCGCGGTCTACGTGGCCCTGCAGGGTGCGTGGGTTCTTCGCTCTTAGGTTCTCAATGGTTGTGGAGTCAGTGATTTTCACGATGATCTCACGCTGTGCTTGGATTAGAGATGGTGTTTGTGTAGAGATTGTGATTGGTTTGCTAATTTGCGAGACATTGCTGCTAAGTACTGAGGCATATGAACTTCTGGGAGTTGGGGAAGAGTGTATGGCTTTCGCAATGTCGTTCGTTTCCTTCAGCAGCGTCGATGTCAGCTTGCCGGCCATTGCGACTTCTTTGGTGATTGCATTCGTGTCCTGGCTTATTTTGACGACTTGCTGTGATGATATGGCGGTCTGCTGAACTGTCGCAGCCGTTGTCTGAACCGTTGTTGCTGTTGTTTTCAGGTCGTTCTGGATGGTTGTGAGGGCTTGCATGACAGCTGTGTGGCCTGGGGCTTTCTCGATTTTGGTGAGGATAGCGCTCATGGTGGCAACCATGATTTTCACTCAGGGGATTGGGATCGGCTGTTCCTTTGCGGATTCGATACACAGGAGTGCCTCTCTTAGGTATCTGCTGGGGTATGTAGCGTGCTCGCGGAGATCATTGGACCATGCAGTTACTTGAGGCCACGTTAACGCCATAACGCCTAAACTTATATCGCACTGGGCGATGCACACAGGCTCAGGCTATTCAATTAACCAGAAATAGGGCTACTAGATGTGGTTTTCGTTGCGTGATTCCAAAAATTTCGTTCTCGCTTTTTGTGATGTTTTCCCCCGCTTGGATTCAATTATTTGCTAGTGGCGCGAAAAGAATGGCGGGACACATGTTGTCATGGGAGTGATGTATGTAAAGAAGGACAGGTCGGTAGAGGACGTTGCTATAGGCTAAGACAATTTTGCGAAGGAGTTTAAAGGCGTTGATTTTGGGGAGGGCTTAATCTCTGCAGGAGGGGCTAGTGGTTTTGGAACCGGGACCCAAACTGGAATCGGAACTGGAGGTTCAAACTCGTCGGAATGGGTTTAGTGGGGTAACGAAGGCATATGGTATTGTAGTATAATCGGGGTCGACGAATGGTATGCACCTGAGAGTAATGCAAATTCGAATTGGATTTATAGTAATAAACAAAAGAAGTATTTTATCAAATATGCTAACGGGGCGGTCGTGTGGCAGTGAGTCAGCTGCGAAGATTAAGAATGGATTGAGTTTAGATAGAATTTAGTTGCTTGGGATTTTGCGCTCTTGTATTATGTGATTTGTATGCTCCAATGGATTGTCTCACGGAGCCTGGCGTGGAGCATAGCCCCACTAAGATTAGCCTGCGGCGGCTAAAGGATCATTCAAACCACCGCGTGGTACCTTCTCCAACTTCAACTTTCTCTGTTCACAATGCAATGCAAAGAAACAGTCTCGTCCGGAAAACTCTCCGCTCTATCTGCATGCCTTGTGGTAGAGAGAAGCGAGCTTTATTGGCAGTCCGGTCGCGGAAATACAGCATGGAAAGGCGTCAGAAAGGGATGGCTAAGATCAACGACGCCACCAACTCATTCTTCAACTTCACTTCCGGTAGGTGGCAGTAAGTATAAAATCGACCGATCTTGGTTGATCTTTCACTTTCGCTAATTCGTACACGTGTCCCCAGTTACAATGAACATCTGCGCCTTTCGGAGAGGCGACTCTACTTCAACATAAACGAGCTGTGTCACCTTGTTGCCAAATCTGTCGGGCTACCACGTACCGATATTGCACTCGTCACAAAGATCGCAGAGGCTGGTTCATACCGTATCTTTGAAGCAACTTTCCACAATGGGTTGAAGGTCATCGCACGCCTCCCATATCCTTGTACTATTCCTCGCAAATACGGCGTCGCTAGCGAGGTTGCCACGATGGAGTTTCTACGTATGCATGGCATTCCAATTCCCAAGATCCTCGACTGGAGCTCATCTGCTTCTAATCCACTTGGAACAGAATATATCATCATGGAGCGAGTTTCAGGGAGGGAGTTAGCGGATACATGGCATACTATGACATTTAAAGAAAGGATGGCGGTTGTTGAGAAGATTGTGGATTTAGAAAGGCTTCTGTTTGGCATTCGGTTTCCTGCTAGTGGTAGTCTTTTTTTCAAAGATTCCTTGGATCCTGATGTCAAGAGCGTGGATATGCCCGAAGACAACAGCCTCAAAGATGTAGGCAAATTCTGCATTGGACCCTCGACTGAGTATCTCTGGTGGTACCAAAAGCGAAATGAGCTCGCTGCCAGTCGCGGACCTTGTGAGCGCCCCTATCTGTATGATCCTAAGCTAGCTAAGCAAGTTAATTTCAGGGAAGAGTAGTGAAGAGGTGTTGAAAGCAGTTGGTGAGAGGGAGATCCTATGGCTCCAGAGATTCGGCGAGAAGCGGTATCCACGGGGACCATTTTACAGGGAGTTCTATAATCGTCAAAAGGTAGATCCACAGGTGCAGATTCGTCATCTATTAGACCACCTAAAAGTTGCTCCTCACCTCGTTCCGAAAGTAGAGCAGCTGAACGTACCTACTATTCGTCACCCTGACCTCTCACCCAGCAATATCTTCATCTCCGACTCTGGCGACATCACTGGCATCATCGACTGGCAACATGCTACGATCCTTCCAATATTTTTACCAGCCAAAATCCCGAAGCATTTCCAGAATTACGGTGACGATGATTCCGAGAATTTCCGGCGTCCAGAACTTGCAGAAGATTTCGCCAACATGACCGGCAGTGACAAAGAAGTAGAGATGGAGCGATACCGGCGACGGCAAGTGCACTACTTCTACCTTGGCTACACCAGTGAGCTCAACAAGGCTCACTTCCACGCAATGGGAAAGTATAACCTTATTTTGAGGAGCCAGCCTTATGATACTGCTAGTCGGCCATGGGAAGGTGATAACACATCGCTCCAAGCACAATTGATTAAGACAATAGCGCAATGGTCCGAGATTGCCTCTCCAGAAGATAATTGCGTAGTTCGCTACCCCCCAGCGGAAATCGAGGAATGCCTCGACAGGGACGCTAAGCAGAACAACGTTAACGAGCAGATGCAGCAAGTGCGCGATTTCATTGGGATTAACATTGACGGCTTGGTACTGAATGAGGATTTTGAGAATGCGAGAGCGAGGGCTAAACTTATTAAAAATGAGCTGGCGGAAAGCGCCGATACAGAAGAACAGAGGAAGGAGTTCGATGAAATCTGGCCTTTTCAGAATCATGAGGAAATAGATTAAACATTGGAGCTAGTCGTTTGCAGCAGTGGAGGACTCCAATAACATGCCCAGATACAAGGGGGTGGAGGAACTTATTCTGAGGAAAAGGTAAAATGGAAAACGTGTCAGCAAAGCACAGACAAAGCCTCTGTGGATTGAGTGCTATGTCATTACCCCCAATTCCTACGAGCATACTGGACCGTGCATCAATCATATTCTCTTCTCTCTAATGTGCCTTGTACATTTTTCTCCTTGCCGTGCGGATTGATTTGTGATGACTTAGCGAAGCCTTCTTGCTCTATCGGAGGAAGTGGGCGTTGGTCATCATCAACCCAGCGCCTGTCCTCAACATCTCACCATGCTTTGCGACGAGGTGGGGCAGTTTGCTCGGTGGTTGGATCGGAGGGGGTTTTGGAGTTTGCCTTAGGATTGTGTGGTTCGTCATCTTCGAAGATTACCAGATTATCTGTGTATCGTTAAGGGATTGATTACTGTAACAAGTGATGGGAAGCTGGCATATTTCGGCATTAGACAACGCAGAAGAGCTTAATGCATTCGCGGCGCGGAAATTAAGCGATATCGACCTTCAACTTCTCGACGACATCTTTCCACCAGACGATTCTAAAGGGCTTTTCGTGCCAATTTTCCCTCCACCAACCCCTACACTTAACCCTAGTTCCTCGTTCACGTCTTCAAACTCCAATTCCAATACTACTTTACCCCTTGTTTTCGACTTGACTTCTTCTCTAGAAATCTCATCTCTGTTCGTTACCGATATTATATTTCGCTACAAGTAGATATTTATTTAAAGCTATATGCTAAATGAAAACCCTCAAACCATTACAAAGACACGAACAGCAAAATTCTTTGAAAATATCACTATTACCTTATTTCATACAAAAAATCTAGTAGTACTCGCATTATCGCCAGACATTTGAGTAGCGTTCACAGAATCAAGAGTGATTGTCCAAAAGAAAACCGTCGTCACAAAGTTCAAAGTTCTATCAAAATTACTATAGCCATAGCTACTTCTATTCCTGCTCGCAAGCGTCGTTGTCTTCAAAGCAACCCCTTTTCAAACAACAAAACAACTAACTCTGCTATCGATCCAAACGTTCTTGAGCATCTTCTCGTCCGATTGTTTGTTACTTGTTCTCTGTCTTTACATTTGGTTCAATGCGATTCTTAGTCTCTGCTCCCAACTGTCGACGAGCACAGCTCACTCATTTCAGCACGCTTGAGCAGGGATTTGACACCATCTATAGCCGCGCTCGATTAAATTGTCCATTCAAATGCGAGAACTGTGGAATGCGCTTTCCAACAAGGGGCAAATTGCACTAGGCATGGTACAACTCTGGCATCTGCCAGCGAGAGTATCAAATATGGTGGTGGCAATGACGGGTCCCCTGCTCGCATGTGAAGTACCATTTTTCCCTACTCACAATCCACTCTATCCGAGCTTCCCGAACGAATCAGGTCATTTTGCACAGTTCCTCGAATCGTGATAGTTGCTAACAGATGCCATCTCTGCTTGAATGCCGATCAAATAAAGTTTACGACGTGCAACAAACTATTATTCGATCTCAGTGAAGGCCCGCTTGTGTCTCGGATAAAAGCTCCGAATGATAGCATCTCATGATTTCATTGGTACGAAAGCTTTACGGAAAGCTAGTGCCTTATCCGAAAAGAGGCGAGGGCGCCTCTGACAACACGAGAGCGTGGGGCACAGTTACTCCAATTGGATGACACTTCGAACGTTTGGCACAGCAGCTTCGCGGAATTCGATTAGACTAGATAGAGCAACTTGAGTTTTTCAAAGAAATGAATGTTTCATATCATTACTGCAATCCTTCGGAAAACATGAACAACACAATGACAAAGAACGAGGCATGCGCACCCACAAGTTCCGCACCAACCAACGATCAGTTCTCCCTGCCAGTACCAACCATACTGTGTCCTCCATCTGCACCTTTGACTTCACGATCCTTACCGCGGAGCTTCATACCCTTGCTGCTGTTCTTGTAAAGGTTGGTGAAATAGTCCCACAGCTCCTTGTCCTTGTCCGCAGCAGACTCGATGTCGCCGTCCTTGATGGAGGCAAACTGGTCCGTCAGACGGCCGATCGTGACGGCGTGGGTTTTGTTATGGTGCGTCTATAAACACGAACCATTTTCAGCTTTCTATTCTTGCGAAGGTGTGAACATGGGACAGGAAAGGGAGGGGGGGCAAGAATATTGACGAACAAGGGGTAGTAGAATGGAATGATTGGTGGAGTAACACCACACGCGGGTTTTTGGGGAAAATACAACATGACTCGACTCAGAAGCTTACTTTGAGGTTGCCGAGTCGCCTGAACTGTTTGAAACAGTAATCGAGGGGACAGACGTAATATGATGGTCGGATTAGCTCGTGGGTTTTCTGGTGTACGGTAAGAGTGAATTTCCGTGTAAATGCCCAATCACATTTTTCGCACTTGTATGGGCGTTCATTTGTGTGTTGTCGTTCGTGAGTCTAGAAACTCTTCGTTAGTAACAACGAAGATGAGGAGATTGTCTTCTGTATTTACCTTTAGATTTCCGAGGGCCGAAAACTTGCTGTCACATCCTGATTTCGTACATTGCTATGAATAGAATATCAGAGATAAAGCTGTAACGTAGAAGGTGGGTAATACTCACATATGGCTTTTCTCCAGTATGGGTTCGGTAGTGTTCCCTAAGGTCATACCTTGACTTGAAACTCTTGGTACAGTTTCCGACATTGCATTTGTACGGTTTGCCTTGGGAAGTAGATGCAGATTTCTGTGGTGTTGTGCTTTGGATTCTGGTGTGAATAACTTTCATAAGAGTGTCGACTTTTGTTCCAAAATTCAGTTCATTGCTGCCGCTGATAGGACTCGTTGTGGGGACAGTTCGAAGTTCTGGCTTGATGGGTGGGATTTGGTTGCAAGCTTCTTCGACGAAACGCTGTCGAGCGTCTCCAGCGTGCTGTATTCCCCAGCTTCCATCATTCTCGTAGTTGTTGGCAAAAGCTGGATTGACTTCGTTCTCACTAGCTCCAATATATGGGTGGAAAACGAATAGGTTCTGCTGCATTTGTGGATAGGTTACTGCCATACTGCCTGATGATGCTCCGCTGAATAGATACACCGGAGAGCAGGAAGGGCTTGCTTGTGTAACAGCAGCACAAGTGTTATAGGACCAAATCGGGTCTATGCTATCCATCACATAGCCGGGCTCCATGAGTACGCTGTTCCAGCCATTGTCCTCAGGCCTGTCCTGGTGCTTACACAATTGACCAGTAGCAAGAGGGTTCATATTTTCGCAAACTCGGAGATCAGGTGTTTGTCGTGTTGGTGTAAGAACACGAAGTGTTCAGATAAGTTGATATGCAGCTGGGATAGAGGTTAGAGGGATTACTGATCGTTGAATACTCGAATCCGGGACTTGGTACCCGAATGTGATAGATCAACTTCCCTCAGCCTCTACGCGGCTAGGTTGTCACAATTGAATCCAAACCGTAGCGCCGTCCTGGATGACTCGGCAAAAAAAAAACTCCAAGATCCCAGCAATAAGGAGTGGGAAAAAGAGGCACAGGCAATTCTCCATCAACAGCAGCTTGTGGGTGGGAGGTGGCGGCCAACAGTGTCTGATACCAACACTATTTTCGTAGCAGTTGTTTCAGTCAACGAGTTTGGTCAGTTTGCAAATTCGTTCGCCCTATCAATGTCTTTCTTTGTACCATAGCCGGGCGTTGCAAATGCCTCAAGGATTTTGCTTTCCCAAAACGCCGACATCCCACCCAATGATAGCATGAGTGGCTTTCAGCCCAACATTGCATCCGAAAGACATCTTTGTAGGAATTTGTTTTGGGCAAAAAACATCTGCCCTGCAGAGAGGCGTCTCAAATTGAACTGTTTAGAGGTCTCACAGAGGTCGAGGTCGCGGGAAATCAAATCGTCACACTGATCCAGACTACGCCCCAACTCCGGAACACATCCGATTCCGTGGCTCTTTTGCCTCGCTTCCGCTGGACTGAGACCTGCTGCCTTCGATTCGCGGTAACTGCAGCATGTCCGGGAGAGGGAGAGTTCGGTGAGTGGCTTCGCGGTGTCACCACACTTCGATCGAGCTCCTCGAAGCGTAGACCATTCCTAGCAGATGTGGGGGCGGACGTAACATCACCTGGCCTGGCCTGGCCACGCTTGCATACCTAGGAAATGCAAGCTAGTCACCTGGCAAGAGATAGGATCTGAGTCTGTGAGGATCGTCGTCTCCCCTTCATGTATTCTCTCCGTCGTTACTGTTCAATGCTCCATACGAGATATACGTCGGTTGTCGCCCCAACTCGCAATGACAGACACATCGACACCCAACCCTCCAACAAACTTGCAGGCGAGTATGCCTCATCCGCAAAAGATTTCTGGTACTCCATCTGCAGTGCATTCATCGATCTTCAACCCTCCAGCAGATCCACAGGGAGTCACCATACTTCGGCGTCTGGCAGATATGCCTCATCATATGGAGGCTTCGAATACTTCATCTGCGGCGATTAGCACCACACAGAACCCTCCACACGCGATCGAAGCAGGTCATTGGAAGCTGCACATCCATGGTGCTGATATCCACCTTTATAACAAACATCGACGAATGACATTGGCAGATTTGCAGGTGGACAAAGATCCCCCGAAAGAGTGTGTGGCTCATTTTGAAAGGATACAGCAAGCACTTGCCGTTTCGTTCAATATGGGCCAGCTATCGATGGAATTTAATCATTTGATCAATGTTTACGATGCGCCATTGACTGTGATACATCGCGACGAGTCTTACATCTTGTCCCGGATTTCCTATTGCGAGGAAGATAGATGTAGTGTTAAGCTCGGAGTTTACCGTAGCCATTGGACGTACGCCATACCAGCAACATATTCAGAGTGTATCTTCGAGCCGGTGGTACTAACAGCACAGTTTGGAGGCACCTATTGGTTTGAGGATGGCGGCGGAAAAGTTATTCTGGTTGCACGCTCCCGGGGCACAGCACCCCCTTCTGACGTCTTCTCAAGTCTGGTCTGTGGTGACCAAAAGCCGACCAAAGTCCTTGCGCCTTGGATGCCGGGCGAGGAGGAGGTTGTGGCCATGGCTTCTCTCAGGATTCATGCCGACACAGAGATTGATCCTACATACCACGATATTGAAGTCTCATATGGAGGTAAGTTGAGATAGTTGAATGTCAGAGCATCACTGACCCTTTCTTTGCAGTCTCTAGAAATTGGGTCAAGCTTTCTCACCTCAAGGTTTATAACCCGAATGTCAACCTCAACGATACACAGAATTCAATTGCAGAGTTTCTCGGACGAACATCCTCTCTGATCTTGAAGTTCCCGGCATGGGCCGAGGATGATGTTAAGACGGGTCAGTCACACTTGATACGGTGCTCTTCGTGCTCTGACCAGTTTTAGTGTTCAATCATTACGTCGACAAAATGCTGCTCGAATCCGTCGGCCTTGGACTCCTCGACGTGAACCGGTCCGAAACTTCCTCGATTGTTGATCAAGACGGTTAGTTAACAGAGATTGATGAAGATCATCGCGAACCCCAGAAACTAGACGCAAAGGTGTTGTCCATGATGGATCCCCGAGTTCTTGCGATTCTTTTTATTCGACCAGACAAGTCTAGCCTTGAGCCCATTATTCAGCTTCGAGACAAGAGGGTCAAGTCGGTGATACTGGCCTAGCGCTATGAGGAGATCTCTTGGCTACCTGATGGAATTGATGCTTGGGACCACGAGACAAAAGTCTTCATTCAGCTTTGAACATGATCAGTATTGCCCCTCGTGGCTTGTTTCTCCTTTAATGTTCGTTCTTGTTCCTAAGTTAGCTAAAAATGAATTCGAGAGATGAACTCCTTGCTGCTTGCAAACATGAACGTAGCCTGTGGGGTTCTAGGTCTAATGACATGAGCAGCCATCCGGGATCTCTTGACCTTGCGACTTCCACCAATTCAAGCGACCTCCCAGTGAATTGCACCGTAATCACCAACGTCTTGCCCACCCACCAAGAAGGCAGTGCTGCCCTCACTAACGTTGAGCCCTCTGCGAAGATGGTTTTTGCGACCCACTCCGTCATGCAAACCTTTCGTTCTCGCCGCAAGAGCGATGCAGATCCAGACGCAACATCAGTGCTAGATTGCTTCTATGTTTGTGCGGATGAGATTTCTGGGTGTCCCATGCAAGTAGAAGTTTTATCGCTCACTTCATGATGAAGCTCACCATACAGCTGCTCCAACGTCAAAGTCGGATTTCGAAGCGAGCAAACCCCCTAAAGACAAAAGCATTGGCTTGGAGACAAGTAATTATACGATCAGTCACCAACTTCTTTTGGTATCACCGACTCTTGGAACTGCTTCTGGCCAATTCTCCCGCAAGGAACCCGTCTACCCGCTACAAAAAGAGTCACCATGTTCAATTCAGTAGCTTACACCACCAAGGCTGAAGACATCACGATTCAATTGTGTCACTCAAAACAAGACGTGCCAATCGATTTGCTCACGACTCGGCTTCAGAAGCTTCTACCAGCAGAAGTGGGGAAAACGAGAATAATGGAGATGGATCAGAGTCTATTCGGTAGTCTGACTGCGATGGATATGAAGACGAAAAGCTTTGTAACGGCCAAGTTTGATGGAAGTATGCTCCTTCACCCATTCACACCAGGATGGGATGGCTTGGCCTAGGAAGGAATGCAGAATCAAGAGCGAAATTGTGGTATGAGTATGAATCACCCAAGAACTTATCTACGTACGTACAGTACATTCCCATCCCTTCCAGGTCCCAATCAAGCCTGGCTCTTAGAGCACCAATTGTGGAATTGAATCAAGAAAAAGTCAATGGTTTGTTGCATTTCGAACCGTCGGAAGTCTGGAAGCGAATGAATGCAGTGGCTTCAAACTTGTCGACTGATTCGTTCAAATTGCTGCTACACGTACTGTACGTCGCGAATGCTTTTTGAACCAATGGAGCTCCCCTAGTCTAGTCTTCGGATAGGTCCTGTACGCTTCCCGCTCCAGACTCGGTTTCTTGGGAACAACTCGCGAGAGGCCCGAGTTCACAGCCGAGACGTGGCTTGGAATGGATTAGCGTCATACGAACGACGTAATTTACTTCGTACATGCATGATGCACGCCAGGGACCCGAAGAAGCGGTGTGGGGATGATTGATTTATTGTGGCTTTCGGGCAAGTGAAACCCACTTCCTTTTGACTGCTGTGATACCCGACTCGACCCGAACCGATCCTGGGGCCTGGGCCTCCATATTCAGCCAGCGGCTTGCATATCAGAACCAGCTGACAGAACCAGCTGAAAAGCTGATTAGAAATCAATCATCTCCCGCGTACAGTACAGTGCAGTGTTCGACCCGAACCCGCCCCTGCGACTGCCGATCCACCACCGACGCTGCTTTCGTTTCGACCCGCCCCGCCCCGCCCCTTTGTGCGACTGAGAATGCCGACAATAATTGTTCCCCAACCACCAACAACAATCAATGGTTTGGCAACCACCGACGAGACTTTGGAGTCTTGGACACGGGTAAACGTCATCGACCTCTCGCGCTTTCAGCCCTACCCCCGCCCGACATTCTCAGAACCACCTAGCGATTCAAAGGAAAGCCCCATTGACCTCCAGCCAGAACACCCACAGCCACGTCCAATCATCGACCTTGCATTGCAGAATCACCCTGTGCGAAGAATTCATCGACTGCATGTTCAGACCATCATCCACCGACGTACGTACGATGCACAATATCGACTTTGAATTTCAGAACTACCTTACGAACTGAGAATCACCAACACTTCCATTTCAGAATCACCCGGCGCTGAGGATCATCGACCTGCATTTTCAGACCATCCTAATACATTGATTTACTAGCCAACCGCAGTTTCCGGTTTACCCACTTGAAAAGTTCTTACTGAATGCGACACTGCATCAAAATTAAATGGTACATCAAGCTGCAAAGGTTGCCAATCCCTTATTGTCACATTCAGAGACCTTGACTCGCCCGTCATTCTCATTCTCAAATGTTTTTCGACCTTCGTCAAGAATCCCTCCTTCCCATCCCATTCTTTGAGATTGATTCGACACCCTGTAAAGCAAACATTTTGCAGTCCCGAAAGCCGCACTAGCCACCAGAGCTGCCATCCGTGTGAATCGTCGTCGTCGTCGTCGCGGCTCGGGAAAAGATTGGGGTCCATCCAATCCACTTCGCGGGCCTCCACCGTTCGAATCGAAGAGAGCAAACCAGGCACGAGTTCCTCGATGCCATCGATATATATCCTCATGCGTGTGTTCCAACCCAAACCGTGAGAAACGAAATAAGTATCGCGGCACCGTTGTACAACGTTTGGTCGCCCGATATACTCGGCGCATTGAGGTGTTGACGGTTCGGTGAAGGGAATCCCATATATCCGGGTGAACGACTGTGCGATCCCGCTCACGAGTGCCTTGCGACGACTAAAAACAGCATGTTGCTTCATGAACAGAGTTCTTGATTCGACGCAGGTCCCAAGAGCGGCTCGAGAGCAGCGTAGACGCTCTGCGTTGTACTCATGATCACCATGCTGAAGGTAGATGCTATCCGATATGTCGAGACTCTGGTGATGTGGAGGAGGGAGGACGTGGTTCCAAATCATCGTGCGGATCTCGAGTGGTAGACGGCAGAATAGTGGGAAGGACGCGTTCGACCAGTTTTCCATCATGAGTATTGATGATTAACAAACAATATTGCCGCCAGCGCTTTCCTTGTCGTAGCTGTGAACTTGTTGCGCTGTTGCTGTTGCTGCTGCTGCCAGAATTACCTGTGGATCGTGCTCAAACGTACCGCAAAATGCAACCAATAGATTGTTCACAAATAATTTCTCCAAAGACTTGAAGAAGCATAGACGATGGTAATTCTGGCAGTAGCGCAACAGCAGAAGGTTGCGCTTCTTTAACTCAATGGCTTATTAATGACTCGGGACTTTCCGTTTCTATTCCCAGACTGGCTTGTGACATTGCAGCTCATTCCACTGAAAAGTAGCGAGCATGAGCTTCATCAAGCTTTGCCGAATACCGTATAGTAGATGCGGGCACGACTGCAGTTCCTTCATTAAGTAAGACCTGCAAGAAGCGCGTCCAACCTTCACGCTCTGCTGAATGCGGGCACAACTGCAGTTTCCTTTTCAGTAAGAGGAGCTCAGCTCCGAACAATACCCGTGCCGCACCCAACAAAGCTTTCAAGACACCCTGGAACGCTTTTGGTGTCATTCCCAAATATTTCTTTCTGCTCGATCAAAGGCCTAGACTCGGCACGGTTCGGTATTAAATCTCATACACAGGCGGGTGGAGCATTGTCCCCCTAACATAGCCGAGATTCACCAGGCACCATCCAATTCGACAATTGTTCTTCTCACTTCAGACCCTCCTGAGACCTCCGCTCATGGATGCAAGCAAGGAGACCAACATGGTGAAAGCTATGAGATTCTGCTGTACTAGAGCGGTCAGCAAGACAGAGGAATTTGGAGTATCAGAAAACGTCAAGAACTGGATAGCAGAGCCTTAGTGCTGAACGCGGACTTTCCATTCTCCCCTATTGGTAAGAAATAATGTAAAACATAATAGAACTCAAATCCAAAAGCTTTTGTCTCAGCATGCCCCTGTGGCCAGCTCCCTCGACATTAATTCCACAACAATAAAAATCATCCATCCAATCTTTGGAAAAATCCAGCCCCGCTGTCGCCACAGCCGGTGCCATGTTCCTGCTCACAAGTACACCAAGTTATAGGAAACCAAGGAAATCCCGAGATGGTGGTGTCCAAAGTGCCAGTGATTGTTTCCCTCCCATTTCCAAGTTCAAAAAATTTGCGCACTCTCCGTCACATGATAAAAATAAACCTGACATAGCCAACATCTTGCACCCAGCTTTCTCCCTGCCCATCCCTTTACAAGCTGTGAAGACGCAACAAGCGCATGTCAATACCTTCTGATCGCGTCTGGGCGCTCGAGACGAGCTTCGACCTGTGAGAGAATACATATCGTGCGCTGAATAAGGAGGCCAAGATGGTCTGCATGCATGATAAGGAGAAGGAGAGGTCGGAGAACGTGATCTCCATATACAGCTCGAAGAGTTCTGAGATTTTCCAATTGTCTGCAAGATGCTAGTATCTGCGGGAGAAAATACTATAGACACATACAGCTGCATGGTCTCCCTACCATTGGAGAAAATAGGACTTTCCGTGTCGAGGCACGTGAAAGCCACCATACTGTGGACAAGAGCATTGATACCATCACTGGCAAGGCGAGGGGCGTCTTGGTGAATCTCTTCCACTTCTATCAAGAATGTTCAGGAGAAAGGGTCGGTAAGCGGTCACCTCCGCGTCGTAGTCCCTCGCCTGTTCATGTGCGGAGAGTGAGGGAATAAGGATTGGATGCATGGTGTTTATGTCTGTTTCGTAAATCGCCACCAGTAGGTTCACAGTCTTTTGACTCAGGTCAGGCATCTCGTCTGCGTTGGTATTCCCAGCCACACTGCCGTCATCTTCAAATAGGCGTTCCCTGCTCTCCTCTAACAGACTTGGCCATTCCAAGCGCTGAATACCCAGCCCAGCATCTTTCCACATGTCGACTATAGCATTTATATTCAACGTCCCCATCCCTCGTATCGCTTGTTCGGGCATTGAAGCCGATCGTTGGTCTTGCTCCGATGGTGTCGCTGCATCAGGCGATTTGCTTGAGGTTGCTGAAGATGTCGAATCGTCATGAATCTCCTCTTTCATAGTAAGGTAATGAAGCGATCTGGGCCCAATTCGCTCCAGGGCTCGCACTGCACGTCTCCCACCTCACCTCATTAATTATGGGATGCTTTGCAGAGATCCATCCACACGGGCTGGCTCAGTACACAGCACGCACGCACGCACGCACGCAGTCCACTCACTCACGGCAGCAATGATACGGGGATAGGTATCCCCGTCAATATCATCAATATCAGTGTGATTGGGTTGGTTCGAGGGTGGCCGACCTGGTGGAAAAAAGAAAAGAAGTACACAACAGCTTGCTTACCAAGATATGCCCGCATTTACTGTGTAACCTTACAGCACAGCAAGGCTTAACGAGCGAAGCCCGTGCGCTCCTGTTGTAAGATTTACTCATGCGGCACGGATGCCGTGTACATTGTTGGTCACAAACTGGAAACCGAGCAGTGCATGAAAAAGAACGAGGCAAAGACAAGGGAAGGAAGGGAATGTGGCTTGCGAATGAATGAATGAAGAAGAAAGAAGTCAAGAGTGCACATACACATGCACATGCACATGCATGCTATCGGATCTGATAGATCAGAAACGGTGCACACCCACCAGCTGCATTCCAGGCTCGGAGGAGTTGCTCCATCCATGTCCCCTGGACTGGAAAAGGATGAAATTCTAGAACTGCCCTTCGTGTCGCTGAGCGTGAGCGTACTGTGGTGTAGTGTAACCTACCACGGCTCACGGCTCGGCCCCCGGATGTGTACTCCTCACGCCTGATGCCTCGCTTCCCGCTTCTCCTCTCTCCGGAGCCGAGGGCGCGTAAAGGCGGCAGGCTCAGCCACTAAGTGCTCAGGTGCTCTCGCATGCCGCCGTGGATGGATGGCAGAAGCCGCACGTCGTACCAAGGGTTCAGTGCATGCATGCACGCATCGTCTAGACCACGCCTTGTGAAAAGGAAGGGTTGCACCACGGGATTTTAGTTAGGGATATTAATCTTGCCATTTACGGATGAGTGTTGTCAACAATATTAATTTTCGTTATTAAAAAAAATATAATAAAATACTCCTACAATTTTCTTTTCACGTTGTATAATTGGACGAAAGGTGGACGGAGCGGGGTTTTATACCTCCCGGGGTCGATGGAGGGATTGTTTGTTTGCCTAGGTTTGTGGGGTAGAGAGGAGTGAATTTGGGGATAATGAGAGCGAATTTGGGGATAGTGAGAGTGAATTTGGAGATAGTGAGAGTGAATTTGACTAAGGCTGAGATCTTTTTCTTTTACAAAGTTTACGTGAATAAAAGAAGCAAAAAAGTCTCCAGGTTGAGGTATAAATTGTTATTCGAAGACTAGATTCATTTTGCTCAAGGGTGATGGCGAAATCTTTGTCGGGCTACCGCCGCAAGCGCCAATCCGTCGATAAACAGAAATATGGAAAGCCTCTGACGATGTAAAACCTGGTACATGTCTGTCTCAGTGTGCCGATCCGTCGATAAACAGAAATATGCAAGCCTTGACGATGTAAACCTGGTACATGTCTGTCTCAGTGCATCCTTCTTCCACACGCCACACGCCACGCCAAAGGAAGGTCGGTCCACCCATGACCATCACATACCAGGAAGTCCGTGATTATCTCGCGCCAGAGCTTGGCACAATCCTGACAAGCTGGAAGAAGCAGCAATCAAGCACAAAGCTACCGTCGTGGTGAAGCCGAAAGTGTTATACATAGACTCCTGTCGCCTTTGCTCTCAAGATCAACTAACTTCCTGCTCCTTGGTTCTTTTCGTGAGACGAGTTTACACACCACCATGACAACTGAAAGAGTGCCCTCGAATTCTGTCCAGAGTAATGTCGGCGACGAGGATATTGATGCCAGATATGATGGTTTCCACCATGGGGCTATCGCTGACCTGAGGTCTGAGGTAGCGTCCATCCAAACCTTAGACCCGGACTTTTGTGTGTTCATTGAAGAGAACGGCCGAACATATCATGCATACAAACCAGGATGTAAGTTGAAGCTTCATTGCCCTCGGTGCAAGAACACTGACATCAACAAGGATACTTATTACCAAATGACGAGGTTAGTTACTCACAGTTTTACAATCAAGGTCAAATAGCTTATTACGTGGGTGGATAGCTCGAGAAAGATCGATTAGGTGAGTCAAGAGACGTAAATTCTAGATTCACAAATTCTGAGAGCAGAGGCAGATTGGCAGCATGCACTATGGATTCAGACATTTCCAGGCTTGTTACTTGCTCAGTTCCCAGGAGTGGGGAGAATTTTGGACGTAGGGACTGGCACAGGTATTTGGGCCATTGAATTTGGTATGAACCGGTTTCCTCTGGCATGATAAAACTGACAGGCCATTGCCAAAGCCCGTCAATACCCAGCTGCCCAAGTTATTGGAGTTGACCTTAGCCCAATGCAGCCTCAGCGTCAATTGTGAGTCTACCAATCTTCCATTCCAGTCTTGTATTAATGTTTCGCAGTCTTCCGACAAATGTACAGTTTCAGGTGGCTGACTTAGAGGATCCTTGGACCTTTCCCAACAGATTCGATGTGGTTCACTGTCGCTCAGTGTTTCCGTGCTTAAATGATCCCGCCGGCCTCATCAAACAGGCACATGATGCCTTGCTACCTGGCGGGATTTTTGAGATGCAAGATATGTCGTTTCGATTCAATTATGACGAAGGAGGAACATATGCCTTCGGGACCGCGTTAGCGGACTGGGCAGGGATGCTTCGCTTCACGGCCAGAAGAGCAGGAAAAGATTGGACTTGTGCGGAAAGGTACAAGCAAGACATGCAGAACGCGGGATTTCAAGATGTGCAGGAAACGGTTTATAGGTGGCCAATAAATGGATGGCCCACCGATGCTGCCGAGCGACGGAGGGGGAGGATCAGCCAGGAGAACCTTCTTTCGGCACTGGAATCGTTGTCATATGCTCCCATGACCCGGTATCTAAACATGTCGAAGGAGGAAGTCGATGCCATTCTTATCGATGTGGAAAAGGAGATCAACGACACAAAAATACCTGCTTACCTTCCTATGTAAGTTCTTGGTTTCCCCCAATTGAAACTCAATATCTTACCATCAATGCAGATATGTCGTTCATGGCCGAAAGCCTTGCTCTGACCCGGGAGTAGGCGGAGTGTAAAGGGCCAGCAAGAATGGAAATCGCAAGATCCGATTAGTAGAAAATACGAATTAGTATTCTTATTTCATGCCCTAAATTCCTTCGTGATGTGCTGAATGAATATGATATTTTTTGCCACCGAGTTCAGATTGAAATGTTCAAGGCGCCAGACTGGAGCAGGCGACCTCTTCTGTACTATGCTTAGTTGCGTCCATGCCACAGAATACCCTTTTGGAAGCCTGGACGAAATTCGAGAAAACATGAAGAACATTCCCAGGAGAAGTGCTCACATGAAACCTCGTCCGCAGTTTCCTCTTGCAGTGCAAAAGAGAATTTGTCAATGCATCCAACTGAAACCCAAGGAAAAAGAATCTAATCTTTGTAATATGTAATATGGAGGTCCTTTGAAGGTGGAAGAACATGACTGACAACCCGGCCTTAGCGTTTCTTAGTGTTTCCAGACATCATGTCGCCATGTTCAAAAAAGCTTTGGGGTTTATTCTGCGGCAAGTTGACGAGAGTGGCATGCAACTTTGCGGTTGTTGCACTGAGAAGTCACAAATCTCAGCAGCGAGATCGGGAGGAGATTATGCTTGAGTCCATTTCTTCATTACTCCTTGATCCGTACGTACTAGTAAATAAATTGATACTCCTGCATCTCAACCTCAAGGCTTCTCTCGAGTCCGCGGAAGAATACTTTGCATCTCCCATCAGAAAATGAAATGATGCCGGTGTTCCAGACCAACCGTCCATACCTCTAGGCAATTTCCCCTCCTGCTCCACCTGCGACTCTTACATCGTCTCCTCTGATAGATTCCCATCCTCATCTGTATCCCTATCCCTATCCTCATCTCAGAACCGAACAAGTTCCTTCAACATCTGATCAATCTTCAATTCCGCCTCATCAATGCCCATCGTCTCAGCTTCTAGTCCCGGAGTATCCTGCCTCAGAGAAAGATGCGGGAATACAGTCAGATTTGCAAGGCTGACATAAAGCAAGTCTAGGCAAGCGGATTGCAAAACCGGGTCCAACTCCAAGTTTCTCCGACTCGCACCATCCACAACCGGACTCTTGGCCACTTGTGGATACTTTATTTTCAATCTTGCAACATAATCTCTCCAGATGCCAACTAGTCTTGGAGCGACCACTCCAAGTCTCTTTCTGATGTCCTGATACTCAACCTCCTCTTCTTCATTCCTCTCTGAAGATCGCAGTCCAACCCAAGTGACAGCATCAATCAAGACCCGCACCCTGGACTTTTCAACACACATATGTCGCCACAACCTGTCGGCGGCCACTTCTGAGCCATTACATGAGAACCAGCTTTCGTATGGAGACCACTCCTCGTCGTCGGTTGGTTCGAAAAGCCTGAGATGCTTCGCTTGGTTGACTCTGTTTTCGACGAGAGAAATCGCGTGCAGGATGTCTTCAGCCAGCAATGAATATGTGGATAAAAGGTGGAGGCGAGGGAAACGGTTGATCTGAGCTGTGAGCGTGAAGAACAGACTGCCAATAACTGAAATTACAGCTACGAGCTCTTCGACCGGCTCGATTCGATGCGGTAGTGTCGACAGATAAGCTGTGCACGTATCGACGAATTTCGTTAATGTATTGATGACGGGCATGGGGTCCGCTGGAGATGCCATCTTCACAATGAATGGAACAATCAGAGAAATGGTTCAGAAGTGGGTTTGGGTCGAGAGTTCACTTGCGGACAAAGAGTACCTGCCTCCCGCCTATTAAGCTTCTAAAAGGGCTTCACAATAGGGGCTGCACTCAATGGATTTCCCTCCCTCGCTGCTGTACTTACCACGATGCGATTGATCTTGTGCATATGAGTTGGCCTGCTGCGGCTCATCCTAAGGGGCAGTTGGTTGCTGCAATCGTAGCCTCCAATAATAGGATGACGCCCAACACGCCTGTTTGTCTGGCACGGTGGCACCCGACGCACGCACGCACGCACGTCCGGTCGATCGATCGATTGATTGATGATCACCAGGCAGGGAGGGCAGGCAGGAAGGCAGGCAGGCAGGCAGGGGGCGGCATGGCGGTTTCAATTAGCTGCAGCTGCAGCTGCAGGGACAGACTTAGAGACATAAGGTTTGACACCCTGGACTCTCTCTCGACTGGCCTCGCCCTCGCCATTTCCCCCACATTATTTCACTCGTACCATTTGGTCCGCCCGCCCTACAGGGATAGACACGATAGACACCCTGGACGGGCGTTGCCATTTCTCCCACACTACGGAGAGTCCCTGAAATCGCTCAGACCTCTTGTCAGATCCAACTATCATTTCTGGTGCGATCTTATTGCTGTACTTTGAAACTCTTACAATAAATAAAATTTGGAGCATTTATCACTTTCAAGTGCATTTTTGGACTTGATATTCATGAAGCGGCAAAATTAAGTGGTTTCAAATATCCTGGTTTTTTTTCTTCTAGGGTATACACTGTATTTCACCCGTACCATTTCGCCCTCGCTCTTCCGCCCTCCGCTCTTCCGCCCTCGCTCTTCCGCCCTCCGCTCTTCCGCCCTTGCCCATTCCGCCCGTCCCATTCCGCCCGTCCCATTCCGCCCGTCCCATTCCGCCCGTCCCATTCCGCCCGTCCCATTCCGCCCGTCCCATTCCGCCCCCCCCCATGGCTACACGAACTGAAAAACTGCTTTCTCCATCATGGGTAGAAACCTTCAAAGGTAAAGAGCACAACCAGCCAAGGAGCAACATGCAACTATGGCTCCAGGCTTGGCTTGAAGCCAAGAGCGAGAAACGTGCAACAGGAGGCGCTGTTGTCTAAGAGGAGACGAAAGAAAAGTGCGAAGAAAAGAAGTTCCAGGAAAGGATTTCTGAGCTTGATCTTCCAACCGTCATCAAAAATGGAGGAAGGTACACCCAGCATGAAATAGCTTCCATAACGGATAAAGAGTGGCCACGCTGCAGGCACCTCCTATTGTCTGATAACAACACGGGTAACAACAGAACCCCGCCTGAAGCGTATCTGGCCGATATCAGTAAACATGTTCTTGTCGGAAAAAAATACGTCCACCTCCGTGATGCTTTCGTAGAAGCATTCAGTGCCGTGTTTGGGGCAGTCCAGAGACTCGACAGACGTGGGCGGGAGATTCAGAAGCCGGTGATAGGGGCAGAGCAGAAGAGGAAAGAGTACAGGATCAAACTAGGGAACGGAAGAGCGTTGATCAATGCCAAGTTGGCAACAGAGCTTCGATCAATAGCAGTGACGCGCGATGAAGAATTCAAAAGCGGCCTCGAGAAATTTGCAGAGCTGATCGCAGAGTGCGACAAATGCTCTCGAGAGCTCAATTTGCAGCTCGAAGCTGAGTTCAAGACAGTCCTGGAAGAGGCTGCTACACAGGAGGCGAATTACATCTCACACCCCGACAGACGAATGACGACGCTGCGTCTAGAATTCGAGGAGATTGTCGATGCCATTGCGGAGCAGGACCATCTCGAACTTCAGGAAAGACTTTATCGGAGTCAGAGGTACTTAGCGGAATTCAATAGGACAGTGGAAGAATTGTGCACAGGACCTCCCATTCTTGTCCAAGCAAGCGCACCCGAATCTTCAGGTTCGTTAGATACACCTTCTCCGGTTTGCCAGTTACTGATACTTCAGTGCCAGACGCAATTCAGGACATCCATCCCTCATCTCCAACATTCAACGAATCCTCAGACACCCCTTCTGCGAAACCCTTACAAATCCTGAACGAGGACGTCAATTTATCGTCGAAAAACAAGGCTCGGTCGACTAACGACGGTATTGGTCGATTACCATCCAAGGTCGTACCAGAGGCATTCCAAGCAGAGGCGCAACAGGAAGGTAGAGGGCGGTCTGATAACATGGGGCAAGTGAGGCTCAAGCGCCAATGGCCTCGTGAAGACCAATTGTTGAATACACATGAACTAGGGGAGGGCGAGATAGGCCAGACCAAGCGCCGCCGGATCGAAAACCTATCATCATACCCTTTCCTACAAGGCGCACAATCGTGGAATAATAGAAGAAGCATGCCTTCAGGTTCGTAGAATGTATGCTTCCCTGGCTTACCAGTCGCTAATATTTCGCCAGTGCCAGAAGCAGTTCGCCAGATCCACCCCTCGTCTGCGATGCCCTCTGCACTTAATACGAGTCCAACCCATCGACACGAGAAGCTGATCATCAAAGTGGATTCAGCTACAATGCTCGCAGAAACCCCTTCATCTTCCAGGTGGAGCTCTGGCCATATGATTCAGGGAATACATGGCACACACCAGCACAAGGGGCTCTTATCAAGGATCGATTCATCACTGGGAAATAACCTGCAGCCGAAGACGATTGATACACCGTTCTCAGAGAAAATCGATCAACACCAAACAAGTGGAGGTATGTCTAGCACGACGGTGGACCCCCAGATTGGTGAAGGCGGTCCATCACTATTGAACCAACAAGCACACTCGTCGACTGTTGCTAATGTTTCACTAGTGCTGCACGGAAAGCATCACCCCTTCCCTCAGACCTCAACCCAATTCACGAGAAACAACCTTGATTCATCATTGCAAGTGACGGCGACTCTTCGAGCCCATGAAACGGTACCTTTGGCATCGAAACAGGTAAAGATCAGGATCAGGCGCCCTTTAACTAAGGAAGTTCAACACATACACACTGCAAATGATTACTTTCGGACCGTTCTGGAGGCCTGTGGTCCAGGGAACGGGACAGCACAGCGAGTTAAAAACTTTTCCAAACAGATCTAAGGTCATGTAATCTCATCACTTGATAATATTTCAACTGACCTCCTCCTAGATCTAAACTTCAAGGCATGCACTAGCCATATCATCGAGGCAATACGGAATTTGAGGGAGTCGGATTGGGATACATTCAGGGGCCTACCTTCTGTGATTTCCTTGATCATTGGCTGTCGAAAAAGCTTTTCTTTGTGCAGTTGGAAGGTTGTCAGGAAACAAACCTATGTCATGAAATCTACTATTTCTCAACTATCCATTTCACGTCTACTTCCCGCACATCTATCCTTCACCAACATAGAGCTCCACTTCTCCCGCTTGTACGTCATAGCGAGAGCCCCTGGGTATTTCAACCCAACCGTTCGTTTTGCCTGCCTTAACACAAGCTCCCACTGCTCTATCTGGTGCCGGAACATCGTTCTCGTCATCTTCGGCATTGTCTGTAATAAGTTCGTAATTGCTAACCTCTCCACCCTCAAAAGGAGTCAGCACGATAGTCTTAGGCTGTAGGACAATATTTACTTCGCGGTTTACAAATTCCTCAAGTATAGCAGCATCGTTTTCACAAGTCAAATCCATGATCGGCAGGCGACTTCATTTGAAACTGGTGTTAAAGAAGCGTCTTTTCATGCTGGGACACACATGAGGAACGAATAATTCCGCAAGCGCACTTACTTTTGCCGCCAATAGTTCCTCCTTGTACTTGCAAGAGTAGACAGCGTTCGGAAGATCGAATGGTTTCAAAGTTGCTTGATGGATCGGAGGGATATGGTGAGCTATGTGAAATGATGGCGGAGATTCTGCGTGTCACAATTGGAGAAAGATCAAAAACCGGGAGGCGGTACTTGGTGAAGCAAGATGTGATCACACGTGATTTAACCAAACCTACATCCATCTAACCATTGCAATTAGGGAGACTATCTCAAACTCCTGCCTTTGTAAAGAAACAATGCGCCTCGCATATGTTCAATCACTCTCCTTCTCTGCTCCCTTTTGCTGCGTCATACCAATCACACAATGTCGTTGAGCCCATACAACTCTAGATGTCCGTAGTATCCTGGTACGGCCATAGCTTCTGAGCGAGTAGCCTGTCCTCCTCGTTGTCAGCAGCCCCGACGAAAGCATTCCTCATCCGCGTTAGTTCATTCTGTATTTCGTCAAATCTAGCTGATCCTATCGATCCATCTGGAGACAATCTCCAATTGTTTCGAAAGAGTGTTAATATCTCGCTGACGTAGCCCCTATTCTCTTCCTCGTGCGCGAATAGAGCCATCTCTTGCTCGTTGAAGCTTACGGGACATGGACCAGAGTCCAGGCAAAGATCTGTCCACCCTTTCACAATTCTGATCAGCGCTCGCCGAAGGAAAAATACATCACAATCTTTCCATACGTTCTGAACAATGCGTGTTGGTTGCGTTCGTACGTCGTCTTGTAGTTGCAGGGCAGCCTAATGTCTTGGGTTTTTGTTGTGCGTAATTTGCAAGGTAATATTTATGGAGACACTCGCTCCCTATAAGATTGTCGATCATTTCCTTCTCGTCTTGTTCCAGGCTGTGATAATTCTCTGGACGTTTAGGCCAGATAGTCATGTCACCAGACACCGGCCCTTGATGCTTGAACATTGTTGGGACGCCACATTGGTAAAAAAGCGGTAGAACTGCAGCTGATTGCCAGTCGATTACGCGGGTAATTTGCTTTAATTCGGGGTCAACGAATACATTGTCAAGATAGAAGTCCGGATGCCACAGTGTTGGCGAGTGCGTATCGTCAAAAGATTGAGGAGGCACCATGACCGGAGCCAGTCGAAGATACAGATCCAAGAGGTCGAGCATTTCGTCGGGCGATTCGGGTTCCGTAAGAGAGCGAGCGTAATTCGTACGCGGACGGGCATAGGCTTTAACGAATCTCTTCTCGCTCTCGGCCACCGCCCCAACAAACCCCTGCGGCCCCTCATCTGCGCGCCACCAGACCAAGACTAGTCGTAATGCAGTAATGAAGACTCACATGGTCCTCGATTTATACCCATGCTGAACTTTTCACCGCGCCACAATTCCTTCTCAACAAGTGGTCCCAACGTGAAACGCTCGAGTATTAATGAGCATAGTGGCGGATTGGTCACTAGGGCGTCACAATCTGGAATATCTTCCCTGAAATAGATACAGCCGGAGTTCACACTCTTCGTAGATCCAAGCTTCCGCTCAATCTCCACAATTTACTCTATCATAGTGATTCTGTCCTTCATTTGCCATTTATCCCAGTCTTGCCAGAGTCTCCCGAGTGGTTTGCCTGGGGCCTTCTCCTCGAGAATGTATTCTGCTCTGACTGGATTATTTCGATCGGCAGACCAGGCGATTATGCGAGAAGTGGGAATATTCAACACGTCGCGCAGCTAACAATATTAATGTCGGTTTCCGCTCTCAGGCTTAAGCTAAGCACTTACGAATTCGCGAGTGGCAACTTCTGACGCCGTTGTATAAAACAAAGGCCCTGCACACGGATTTGGGAGCTTTGCAAAGACTTCCGCACCGTTATCCATAGTGAGCAGATAGGCTTTATTATTTAAGCCCTCTTTACACTTGAGGACTTTAGTGCCTGCAGTCTAAGTCAGTCACGAGGGTAATGATAAGTAGGTGTCGAAAGGACGTACAATACCGGGCACCCTGGCTAGAGATCGCTGCGACTGCAGCTTTTAAGAGTTGTTGAAGGTCAAATTTGAGGTACCTCTCTGATAGACGGCGTGATTCATTGTATCTATGTTTGATTAGCGTTTACCTATGTAAAATGAATAATAAACGGACACCCAGCGATGCCTCGTGTATCTGTAGAGATCCTCCTCGGAAATATCTTCTTCTACAAAAAATTAAGATCTGAAATGAATGTTTAGGGCGCTTATTCCGTGCATATCAGTACCATCATTTCTTACGGCGGTGAGGAGAGGTATTGCCAGGGCGTGGCTTGTACTCTGCATGTGTGTGCTGGCCATATCTGTCTTCGCCGTCGCCATGATTGAAGGTCGAATATACTGATGAGCAGTAGGTCTGTGTACAGGCCAGCGGAACAGTGGATAAAACCGTGAGCGATGAGGCATGCTTTCCGTTTTAAGTTTCGAGTCGCTTTGGAACTTTGGGATTGGCACGGGAAGATGATGAGGTTTTGATGGAACAGCTGCTTATGCGCAAAGATAGTGAAATACCTTGCCGGCCTCAGGCCCGAACAACCGCAAAAATAGTGCCTTGCACCCCTATTGGGACCCTTCTCAGTGAGTCGTCTAGAACCATTACCTCCATACCAGGAACCACATTTCCGACGCATTGAGGATCAGTATTAGGACTGACATCAACCCAAGTGATAACTGCTGCTTCTGTGGGGCTTGCATGAGTTAGTACGTGCTTCTTAGATCTGGGAGAATTCCTACCGTAAGAATTCGTTAGTTGAACTCTGGATGTCCATGTTTGGAAAAGCATTCTTGTTGCAGGCTCGCCCGTTAGAACAAGGGACTGCAGATGAGGCAGCTCATGTGGGTCCAACGTCGACGCCGCCGAGGACGTGAAGTTTACATACGTCGATCTGGATACATTGAGCAGCCTGGTGAGATCATCCATTGTCGCTATCTGGGGTGCAATGCATACAACAGCCCCGGCAGAAAGACCCCCGAAGATGTCAGTGATGAATACGTCGAAACAGTAGCTGGCAAAAGAAAAGATTCGATTATCTTGGCCATATCGATACGCTTCGGCCATTGTGACTGCATACCTGCAACCTGGCGATTAGGCATAAAGACACCTTTCGGAACCCCAGTTGTCTCACTGGTAAAGAGGATCATGGCAGGATCATCCACCGTATGGCAGACTTCTGGTAGAGTTACAGAGTCCGGAGTCTGCCAGTCTAAAACATGCTCTGCGTAGATAAGATGCCAGGAGGTCGAGAAATTTTCCGAATGCTCCTTGAACAAAATAACCAGTTTCGGAGTTGCTTCTTGCATTAAACCTTCGATCCGTTTGTTTGAGCTGCCGAAACGAAGAGGAATATAGATTATCCCGAGCTTAGTAGAGATAACATGACGAATATCATGACAGGAGATTTGTTTATGTACAAGGCGACCCTATCCCCACTTTGAGTCCTTTGCATATAAAGATATCGAGCTACGTGTTCTGCTTTCCTGAGCAAGTCTTGGAATGGATCTTAATGGAGAAGATTGACGGTCATACGCTTGATTCGGTTATTGAAGCTGGACTTAGCATGGGGCAGAAACAACGGGTCTATCGCAATGTTGCTCGCTGGGTCCATCAACTTTCAACCCTCCGATTTGACAAGATTGGAAGTCTGTATTGCCGCTGGAACCCACTACGAAATCCTATTCTGAGCGATTTTTACCTCGGACCATCCTCAGATTTTCAGTTCGCGTACGACTATCGACAGGAATATAACATTCCACGCGGGCCATACGATAGTGTTCGAGACTACTTGCGAGGATTTGTCGAAATATATCAGGCGGAGACACTGGATCCCCGTCAACATAAGCGGAGCCAATTTTGGGATCTGTTTAACGACTTCGAATCCCAGGGAACAATGCACTCTAAGCGACAAGATTTGCAGCTCTGGCCTTCATTGTACTCAAAGTCTGATCTGGAACGAATTCCTCAATATTGTCAATCGCTTCGCTACGTCATCCCTCTCATCGTCAAAGAAACAACTCTTCCTCCGCGATCAACTTTCTTGCACCATTTTGATATGTCATACAAAAATATAATCGTCGACAGAGAGGGGGTTCCTATCGCACTGCTTGACTGGGAGCAGATTACCACAAGGCCATTCTCTTTCGGTTTTCCTCTTCCGAGATTTTTTATCGATCAAGATTACATCACAACGACTCGGAGCCTTGAAACTTCTACTACTATCGAGAATCTTCGTCTAAAACAAGACTACCTAGAGTATTTACAGGAATTTCTCTCTCCGAATATACATTTTGTCGATAAGTCCAATATTCTGGATGAGGAATTCGAGAAGCTGTGTGAAATTACGTACACGATTCCTGAATCGGTGCAGGCCGAGGGGTATCAATTCGTCTCTGACGTGATTGCAAAAAGAGGGATGGCTTGGCTTGACGCTCCAGGCCTTGAAGATTGGAAGAAACAGAGTAGCGTGGATACAAATTCACCTGAATTTAAGCAACTCCCACTTGATCAGCAAGATATGCGAACCAGCAGGGTTACCATAGTACAAATTTTCTGGGCATGGCTCTGTGTTCTGCGGGCCCAGAAGCGTTTCAGAGCAATACGGCTACAGCGCCTAGTCCAGTCTGAAAGAGATTCAGATCAGGCGCAAAACTCGATTTCAAGGTCTAGTTCTCTCGAATCATTGGCAACCAGTCTGATAACCCTAGATTCTCGAGATTCAGTACTCTCTAAGAGCCCCCAGGAATGAAGATATCTTCGCTATTTTACCATCTTTCAACGCCAGCCAGTGTGAAACTTCAAGAAGGCGTGAGAGAACCCAAACATTTTGCTAACCCAGTGCTTCGTGTGGTCAAGAGCTTTGCTCTCGCCGTAAGTATCGTAGGTATTCCGATAATCTAGCCGTAGACGGAATCTTCGAGCATTCTATCTTCATCTATTCAGATCAGAATGATATTTTCGCCAGCCCTATGTGATCGGGTGAGAAATGTTTTATTGTGGATGGGGTGCTAGAGTAGTATTATTCTGTTCCTATAGTTCCTTCGCGGCTACACGATCAACCTGTGGAACTATAACCGGATCACAAGGAGCCAAAACAGGGTACCAGGGTGTCACGGTTCCTGCCTTACCTGGAAGTAAGGTCACGTGGGTTGGTATGGTAGATGAAGTAAAGTAGGCAATAGTATTGAAGTCAAGAATGATAATCAAGTTGAGCACGAAGCTCCTACCTAATAGCAGAAATGCCAGTCTTATATAGAACCTCTGCTTCCCCGCGCTAGCCGTGCTAGACAATCTAGCACGTCGCTGCTAGCCATGCTAGCCGGGCTGGCAGAGCTAGCACATCACGTGACACTTGTCCCGTGACTTGCTGGTCGCTCATTCCTACATCCAATAAGCCGTCTGGTTGTTTACCTCATTAAACGTTCAACAGTCCAGTGCGTTCCTGGGACCGTACGTGTCCTGGGACACGTACGCCCAGGATTCCTCCGTATCCTGGGATCCCGCAGGGTCCCAGGAACGTGATCGTGACACAGGGAGCCAGAACGGACCCCCACTTATATTGCTCAGGCTGACAGAGAGTGCTTAGGTTGCTCAGGCAGGATTAGGCAGGACTCAGAAGCCCTCGTCCTCGGCTCAGGTTAGAGCAGCGACTGCTCAGATCCGAAGACGGATATGGACTTTGGTGGGGTCACTTGTCGTCTAAGATTATAGCGGCAATTATCGCCCCCTTTGTCTCCTCTTCCAGCATCCGAAGGTGCTGTTCTGCTTCCGGTCCTGTAAGCCCGTAGCCTAGTCGGGACCAACTCGTATGTGAGCTCTTCCTCCATGCCATGAAAGACGCCAATCTTTCCAACCAAGCCGTAGATCCTAGACGCCTTTCCTTCAAGAAGCTCAGCAATTGAGTAGTGCAGTGAATTGCCTCTCTTTTCAAGCGCTCGTTCCGCGTCCTTAAACTTCTGTCGGTACAGTAATCTCGCCCCGACCTGGCGTGATATATTGCGATGGGCCTTGTGTCCCGCGTCGTAGAGAATCTCGGCAGTTTCCGTGTCGGAGGAGATCAGCGGGATCGGCATGGGATAGTGATTAACTTCCCAAGGCGCCGATTGCGCAAGTTCCCAGTCAATCACGGCGACGAAATTAAAGTCGTCATCGATGAGAATGTTCTGTATGCCCATGTCCATGTGATTGATGTGAAACGGCCCTTGGCTGCTCTTGAAAATTTCCGTGTCGCGCACGGTATTTCGAAAGACGAGAGGCCCAAGAGTAGCAAACGGGCTACTCCCTGTGTCGGAACGCTTCCTTTGGAGTGCATGGGCGACAAGACCTTCCGCCACGGCAACGAAGTAGTCCCATCCGGAATGGAATGGGCCGGCAGTTGGAAGGCCGTCAATCGAAGATGTAGCGATTGCGCCCATTATAGGACCAGTGTCTGTGGAAAATTGCGAGATTGAGCCCATCTGTGGAAAGGTAAACGCGGCAAGCTCTGTCTGAAATGACGTCCATTGTGCAAAAACGTGCTCTTGCGTCGAGACCTCCAAGAGGTTAGAACTACTATGCCTATAAACAAGATGAAGGAGGGTTAAAACTTACGGGAAGATTGTAATGGGACAGTTCCGACATTCGCCCGCCGGAACTCCATGGTCGCAACTTCGCATTGGATCAAGTACTCCTGGTCCGTGTCTGTGGCGTTGCTCTCAGGATGCGCATGTTTCGGCAGCCGAACTCGTGCGATGAGGAAGCGGTCGTTTGGTGCAACAATCTCGAAGCAGCACCAGTACTGTCGGTGTGAAAATGGACTTGGAGCAATGCTCGGTGATGTGATTTGATAGCTAGAGATAGCCTGTGGCGACTTAAGCTGGCCGAATACTGAAGTAGACAACTGCCAACCAACTCTGTATCCTGGACAGTGGAGTCGTTATCACCAATACTAAAGTAGTCCTACCGGTCTGATACCCCGCACATTCTCAGCCGCACTCAGCCCAGTCGGGTAGGGCGTAGGTTACCGCTGACCCCAGAAACTGCACTCCATGCATCCATCTGTCGGCAATGACCTATTTGAAGCACAGTTACGTTACACAGAGCAGTTGTTCACCTCTGTTGTTGGCGTTCAAAACAAGCGGTTTCCAAGGTTCGTCTGACATAGCTTACATTGGCCAATCCACAGACAGTATCGTCCCGAGTAAAAAAATGGGGAGGCTGGGAATGCGGCTCCAACCCCTCCGCTTGGCCCCCAACCGCATCTAGGGGTGACTCGATTTGGCCTGATCTGTTGGAGGAAGGGGCTTGAAGCTGTGAAAGAGAACTCTGGGAAGCCTTCTCGAAATCTTCTACCACCTGTCCGAATAGCTCTCTCTGATTGGGCGCAGTAAGTGGCGCGAAGCTTCGCGCCACCACCCACCAATTAAGAAATAAATCGGGGAGAGTCCAGGGCAATATGGAGGGCGGTGTACAAAAAGATCTGTGCGTTTATAGTGCAGAAAAATATAGTATAGTATTTATGAAATATCTTTGTAGTTTTCAAACAATAAATAACAACGCAACGACGTGAAAGATACAACGACGCAATAACCAACCACCATGATGTCGTCGCAAGAGAAGCAAATAAAGTCTTCACGTGCTAGAGCCGAAGCGAACGCGGAAGCCGAAGCCAAAGTCGATAATAATCCAAGCTTTGGTTCCGAGCCCGAATTCCTTGAAGAAAACAACAATAACGAACTCGAGCACTTTGAAAGCAACGACCAATTCGAGCACCACACTGGTAAGATTTAATTTGCGATTCGTCTACTATAACTATTAACTTCTAGTCTTACCTTGTCCTCTAAACAATCCTCTTACCGACCCCGCTTTCGACGACAATACCGAAAACGAAGACGAAATGAACGCAAAGCAAGTGATGGACGCTTTCATGGGAGCTCAAAAGAGATGGTTCTTTTTCATCGTTGCGCTAGTCTTCGGTTTACTCTTCCTCCTCGCTGCGCTGGTCTTCGGTTTACTCTTCCTGGGCTGGGGACATGCTGGATACCGCTATTAAACCTGTCAAGTACGCCGCCCATTCATTCACGTTCTCAATTTCGAAAGCAGTCAATATTAACAAGTCTATCCAAGTTCGTGACTTCGTCTCTCGATACAACGTTGCCGGTCCTTTCGACGGTGATATTAAAGATCATATCGGGTAGTAACAAGACAAGGCAAAGCATGGTATGGCGTTTGGATTGGTAGCATCGGAATTACATTGGTGGCTAGTTGGGTGAAGGATAGATCGATGCGGCATGTGCAGTCAATCAGTGCAGACAAGGTTGCTGAAGCTATTTGGTGTTGCAACAGCTAAGTTCAGTCAATTCAATCAATCAGACCTGCTACCACTTGATTCGTGCCGTCATTTCATCTCGGTTCCTTCCGGTCGATCGGTTCCTGTCGATCCCGTCGATCTCCATGCAGGCATGCATACATGCATGCATGGCGTACGAAGTGATATTAGTCGTCGGGCGCAGCCGCTTCTACCTCTTTCTTGGGGTAAATAATTACACCCCTGAGGGTTTATACTTCTAGCACTTTCTACATACAAACTGAGTGAACGCAGCTCACTAATTGGTCCTAAGCCCTAGCTCTGTCTGTGCTCCAAAACCCTCAAGGGTGTAATTATTTACCCTAGGAGAGAGGTATTTCAAAAATCTGCCCTGCCCTGCCCCAAGTTCCTTCACCGCTAAAGCCTTCTCGAAATCTTCTGCCAGCGTTCCGGCCTAGCTCTGATTAGCCTGCGCGTCACTGCTGATACCCTTCTCATTTTTTCTGCCCACCTACCCGCCCACCAATGAATCAGAAGCCTTCTTCGTCGTGGTAGTCAGCTGATCGCTTCGAGACGCATTGACTACCATCTGTAGTTAAAAGTAATTCCATGTTTGTAGCTTTGTTTTCAATACAAAACAATAAACATTCAAGCACTTTGGTGTCTTATCGAAACCTCAGCAATCATGCCGAAAAGCATAAACAGTGATCTGGTTGACGGGGGTCTGTGCCCAACGGGGACTAGCAGCGCGCGCAACGACGGCCTGAGTACTCAAGATGACTGCGATTCTAGAGAAGGCTACCACCCTTCTTCTATTAGCGCTCGCAACGACTCGTATACTCAAAATTCTAATGATTGTGATTCTGGAGAAGGCTACCTCCCCTTTTCATCTATAAATTCAAACCTCGATCGCAAAAATTCTAGAAGCCACCACCCCTCTTTTATCAACTCAAACCTCGATCGCGATTCTAAAGGCCACTACCCCTCTTCTATCAACTCAAACTTCGATTGCAAAGATTCTAGAAGCTACCATCGCTCTTCTTCTATCAACTCAAACAACGATAATAATTCGATTCTTCCTCAATACCCTCCTCCAGTCTACGACATGTCACCAATACCTTTACTACGTCTATTCCGCCGAACCCCAGCCGCAACCCCAGCAGCTGCAGCAGTAGCAGCCGCCGATCCACCCGCAACTACAATAGCCGATCTATCCGAAGTTGTAGTAGCTAATCCACCCGCAAATCAACCAGCTGCAGTTGCACACCAGCCAGTTGCACATCAAGCCGGTGTCACTATCCATGCCTCTAGGGGTTGCTGCAATAATGTCGTCCATATGGAGCCAACTACTCTCGCCGTCATTATCACTTGTGCCATTGGTGTTCTGGGACCTGTGATTTACTTTTTCGCTCGGAAATAATACTACGATATGATCTTCTCGAGGTATGAAAATTTTTTTTTCTCGGAGTGATTATCCTATATTAATAAATTATTTAGATTCTCTTCTCTTAGTATTTAATTGCTAAACTCGATTTCGACTAACAAATGGTTTTCTTTATTGATGGGGGTTTAGAGGTTTGTCTATAGGCGCTTTAGAGGAGTTCTTAAGGAGTCACGACCGGCGGCTTTGAAGCATTGGGATTGGTTTTTGCATACAGCAATGGCGTTGGTACTGTAAAGAGTGAACTCTCTCTCTCTGCATATGGGACCGGCGTTTCGAGCAAACATGGATTTTAAACGAGCATAAGAAAATACATCGCGTGTCTTTGCAATCTATCCCATGCTCGATGGAGTGATGTCATCGGGAGCAGCCGCAGCTTGGGGCAGCAGATTTGTTTCAAAAATCTGCCAAGTTCCTTCACCGCTAAGGCCTTCTCGAAATCTTTCTGCCCACCTGTCCGAGTGTGGGCGTTCTCGGAGTAAATATTTCTAATTTTAGAAGGTTTCAAGAAGCACCGAGAGCCGGTGTAAGGAGGAAATATAGTCTGTGTTTAATCACGTGATGTAAAATAGTTTTTAACTCGTATGACGTGTAATACGGGCTTGTTAAAGAATTAATTTAATAATTTTTCTTATTTTCTTTAAATATATTAAAAACTAATATTAAAAAAAAATTATATATTCACGTGATTTCTTTTAAAAAAAATATTAGAAAAATAAAAAAACTTAAATTTATATAACACGTAATATAAATTGATTTTAAAAGATACTTAATGAAATTAATTTTGTTTTCGTTTTTATTTTCCTTTGAATAATAGAATTATTAAATATGTTACGTCGAAAGTCTTCCCCTTGTGTAGTCAGCGGTACGAGCTGTCAGCGGTGCAGTGCAGTCAGCGTTGTATACAGTGGGCGGTACTATACAATCAGCATCGTTGTCAGTGGTGCCACTCAAACGGCACTACAGTGCAGTCAGCGGTACAACCAGTCAGCGGGACAACCAGTCAGCGGTGCAGTGTAATCAGCAGTGTATCGCAGTCAACGCAATAATCCAGTCACTAGAAAGAAAGTATTCTCAGAAAGTGAAAAGAGTATACAAATAAACCATGTTTAAGAGTGGGAGAATAGTGGTTAAAAGTTAGGTAATACGAACATAAAAATAAAAATAAAGATAGAAACATTCTCGAGCACTTCGAGAGAACACGAATTAGAGAAGAGGAGGAGGGGAAGCTCTTCTTGATGTGCACACCATCTTCTGACATCTCCGTCAAGCCTCGGGATGCGATCACTTGATTATATTTTTTTCGACGAGCTTTGTAGTTTAAAGCCGGTCAAAACTTAATGATTTACTGAGACGTTTGATATCTTAATTCTGACTCTAATTACAAGGTCACATTTTTGCAAACTTCTGATATTGTCAAACATGGTGCCATGCTACAATTATATGGTGTCTTCTTTGTATAAATTACCAGTGTCTCCTTAAGTGGTTCAATTTTAAGTATCTTACTAACTTCTATTGTTTTCCCAAGATCTCGGATTACGATGGCATCATTCAATGCTTGCACCAAGAAGGGCAAGGACAAAGTCACTGAGAATATTAATTCAGAAGATGGCATAAACGACTTGAGTTATGATGGAGTTTTCGTAGTAGACGAGAGAGCGATAGATGAGGACGGCGGATATTTCGACGACGAAGATGTCGAAGTCGAGGAAAACATCGAGGATGTTGAGAGTTCCAAGTACGGTATGATGGCTATCGTCGAAAGAAGCGAAGACGACTTAAGGCCCTGGGAGAAACCACTCAGGCCACTACACGAGTACTATTATGGTGCAAAAGCTGCGCGCCTTCCTCTTCTTTTTCAGAAGTATCGAGATCGACAAATTTCGGCCCGTGATCTCGTAAAAGAGATTGAGAAGTTAGGAATGAACCTCTTCAAAGATAATACTCTTCAGATGAAGCGTTGCCGCAACTCTAGGGGTCCCCTTGTTTTCATGATGTGTCCATTGATGGATGTCAAAATGGACTTAGACGCAGAGTTAACTAGCAAAGAGTTATTCACTCATAGCTTCGTCAGATTCATCGAAAGTTACTTTGGACGAAAGGTTCTTGCTCTTAATGTTCTTTGTGTAAGTGGTTCCCATGACTAAATTTGAGAGCTTGACAGAAGCTAAAACGAACAGGATTGGCTGTCGTAGCTCGCACTTAGAGTCTGCCGAAAGCAACGTCTACTTATGGGGACTAGCTATCGTTTTGCTTTACGCTAAACGGGAATTTAATATCGGATTCTAATCTATCTGGGGCTTTAGCGCTATAACTCACCACATAATTGCTCCGCAATTACAACAAGTCATCTTTGCTGCGGGAGATAGAGACTTACCAGATTTTCACCAGATTCCATGTGGTACCTTTGATTATCACATCTCGAGATTTACTGAAGTCCCATTACCTGCTAGAAGGCACTATCTTCGATTCCCAGTTGCCGATAGTATGTTTCGAGCGAACATAAAGAAGAAGGCTGCTATTAAAGCGGATATTGATACGATCGTTTTCGAGCTATACAAGTTTTTACGTCAGCCAGCTATTAATTTCCGCTTGACTTCACTACAACTGGAAGCTAATCATCATTAACGACTTTTCGCTCGAGTTTATCTTCAGAACAAGATTTCGAAAGAAAAAGGCGAATTTGCTGAGAAAAGTTTGGAAGGATGTTTCTCCCCCAGAAGACCACTTCAAGTGATGTCGAACGACAAGTCAATGCCCATTTTCGGCAAGTTAGACAAAGACGTTCAAGATCGAGATTACAATCTAAAGGAATGTACGGCAACTGATTGTACGACAAAATTTCGTGACGAAACTCAATTAATTGCTCATATGATTCGCGACCACAGTTTTCCACCATTCGAATGCGAGCATTGCAAGCAGACTTTTGCCTGGGAAAGTGCTTGTCTTCTGCATCAAAGGGTTCATACTGGGGAAAGGCTTTATTCATGCCCTCATTGCGATAAGAGCTTTGCTCATTCTAGTCATCTTACAGTGCACATAAGGACTCATAAAGAGACATCAACTTCAAGAAGTGCAAGGACTTGAAGACTGAGAAAGCAGGAACGCGAAGCTAGAAAAGGATCCATGGGACCTGCGATATTGACAAAGCTACTAACCTGAGGGGTTTGAACTTGTTGATTTTCGTTGGATATGGTGCTGGGAGTTTGCGATCGTGCTTGGATTTTTACGGCAGGAACTTGGGACATAAAGGGCACAGGTATCATAATATGATAATGTGAAGTATTTCAAGTGCAAAAAATAAGTTGAATTGCTATGATTTCACCACTTGCATCTTTTCTGAGCTCCCTCAGTCACCTCCAGGCCTCCTATACTCAATAAAATAGCTATCTTCATGCATTTAGCACGCCAGCACCATAAATACACTAGCTCTTAGAATATACTAGCTCTCTAAATCTCTCCGCATGCACCGGCTCTCTAGCTGCACCAAAGCATATGCACAGAGTGATGTGAAAGGAAGAGGATTGTGACAGCGCAAAAGTTTCCACTTAAGGGGAACTAAAAGTGGAGCTACCTAAGCTTCATTAAGAACGCCCGTGGGTAGAGCAAGGGGCGGGAGTGCTCGGGTAGAGTTGTGGATACCCTCATTTCCTGAAACCCGAGCACCCGAGCGCTCCCTTATTAGGCTAGAGCAGCTCCACAGCCCCCTGAGAATAAGATCCTGCTCTTTCCCACTTCTCTTTCTCTTCCTCTTCTATCAGTTCTGCTGTGCTGCTGAGCGCTGGTGCATTCAGAGAGCCGGTGCATGCTGAGAGATTCAGAGAGCTAGTGCGGTCAGAGGTAGTGCATTGAGTGCAAAAACTAGCTAGTTGAGGGAATTGAGAGGAGATGGCAATGTTTAGTACTTAAATTTCATAGCAAATCAAAGCTTTTTTGCGCTTTCACTACTTAAAACTTTCATATTATCATGCTTATGCCCTTTATGTCCCAAGTTCTTGCCGTAGTACCTACAGTATTTGCTTACACTCGAACAACGAACACAATCGATTTAAGTGTAACGGTAGCGATAAGAAGAAGGCCGGCAAAAGCAAATACACTTATATAAAATGTAAAACTTGGTAGTATATTTATTAATAAAGTGGCCACGACTTTGCAAGTAGTTATTCGAACGTTTATATAGTTTGTCGCAATTGTGAAGTTTATCCTAGTAGTGGCCCATGTCACGGGTTGGATGCAATGAGTCAAAGCAAGAACCTGATTGTATTACAAGAAGAATTAACTAAAGAGAGAAGAGTTCTATCTTGTACGAGGAGCTCTTTTAAAAGGGGCTCTCGCTGGTTCGTAGAATGGCCCGCGCGCTTTGGCGTCGCGCAGTCATGTGCAGGCCCGCGTAGTCACGTGTAGGCTGCACTACGTAGTAGTGCAGCCAAATATCGGGTTCAACCCGTCACAAGGAGCTTCGTGCTCAACTTGATTAAGTTTTCCTAACTACAATATCATTGCCTTATCTTACTTCATTCACCATACCAACCCACGTGACCTTACCAGGGTAAGGAGAGAGTCGTGACAGAATAATAGTTTATTTTGCGTAGTGCTTACTTACGAACATGGGGACAAAAGTCCGTGCGTTCAGGGCATCAGAATCATGAATTTTATTAATTAATTAGCTGTAGACCAGCCACATCGCTTAATTAAGTCGTGTACCCAGAAGTCCTGCTGCTCAATAAGCCCATTGATCCATTCCTGAGGAATTTTGTCCCATTCTTCTAATACT